GCTGGTTTCTAGCTCTTCTTAACTTCCTCTCAAAATCGTCGTCAAAATCCAAGATGTTTGCACGAATCGTTTGAGAGCTTCTAGTCATACATTAGTACCTAAGAAACAAGAAACAAAATTAGGTCAGAAACTTAAACAAAGTCAGAAACAAAGTGAAATAAAAGAAACAAAAACAATCCAAGGGATTAGCAAAATTGCTAATCCCCGGCAACGGCGCCAAAAATTTGATGCGAAATAGATAAGCACACAAATTAAACCCTCTTTTTGTCAAATTGTAGCAAAGATGTAAGTAGGGATCGTTCTAAACCGGGGATTAGGAGGGATTGCTAAACACTTGGAAACTGACTTAAAAACTCAAAAACAAAGTTTAAAACACTAAACTAGACTCAAAGAATGCAAAAGTAAAGGTTAAAAGACTTAAACAAACCTAAAACTCAAAACAGCAACTAGAAGGCTCAAAACTGCCTAAAAAACCACTTTCTGGGCAGTTTTGAGCACCTACACTAATTTGGACGAAATTTGATGAAAACTTGAATCAAAAATACTTAGAAACACAAATCAAAATACTTTCTAACTAATCTAAGACTTCAAATGAAGGGGGATTTGTTTTGGACGAAAATTTAAACACAAAACAGAAACTTTAATTAGCACAGATTGTAAAAACGATTTTGGTGAAATAGATGGATAAAAGGCTAGTTAGGAGGTTCTTCTCCACACATGTCACACTTGCAAACAAAACGATTTTCAGTTGTTTTCTTCCAATAAATTATAAATACTCAACGCCCCAGATTAACCGTGAATTGCACTAATTAACCCTCAGTTTTTCCACAAGTTATTAAGTTGGATGATTGCATACGACAACCCAAAACATTCCCTACAAGTTCCCTACATGAATTGCATAATAGAGATACAAGCAAGAATCATTACGTTCTATGAAAAACATAAGCATTGACGAAGCATTTGTTACTATGAATTGCATGAAACTTATGCTAAGAATTCATTCAACGCGATCGTTTTCAAGCGATCTTCACTACTTGTGATTATAAGATTGTAACTATTAGGTGAAACTCCCTCATAATCTAGCATCATATTCATGCATGAAAACTAAGCGTGCACTCTCAATCAACATACATAAATAAGTATCAATCAAATAGATGAACGAATTGAATCCACAACTTATGAAATAACAACTGAATGTAATCGAATCAAATTGCAAGCATGTACATGGTTTCGAATTACCCCCCAACTAAGGGGGTTTAGTTCCTCATACTCACAACACAAAGTTTTATTGAATTGAAACATTGAAACATAAGAAAGATCACACCTAAAAATTCCAGCAATCTAAATTGCACAGCAGGAACATCTAAGAACCTTCCTCCTCTTCCTTGGTTGCGGCACAGGGGTTTGTGATGGTTTTTGGGGGTTATGGATGGTGTAGAATGGTGGAAAAGTGTGTAGGATAGGTGTATGGGACGGCTAGGGTGGTTTTGGGTCAGAAAATATGGTGAATGATGAAGGATAGGTGCTGTTGAAGATGGGGAATGGTTTCTGGCGTGAAGGATTAATTTCTGGATTATGGAGAGGGTTGTAATTCGGCCAAGGGAGGTAAAACATATATATATAGGCAGCCAAACCCTAAAGAAATCAGATTAGACAAATGGGCTAGGGTTTAGGTGAGGCTAGGGTTAGGAAATCCACCAAAAACTAGGGTTTCTAGAACATTAGGTGCGGCATGGGCTTAGGGTAAGTAATCAGATTTTTTTCATGTGAACAAGGCCTAGGTGTGGCTGATTAAGTGGGCTAGGGTTAGGGTTAGGTGCGGCATAGGTCCAAGAGGCAAAGATGGGTCATCCAAAAGCCCAAAGCCGAGAATAGAAACTCTCGAAATTGGAAACCTCCAAAAATAGAAAATTCCAACTTTAGAAACTTTGGTTGCCAATTCCGATTTAGGAAAGATCAACCCAAAATGGAAACTTTTAGGCTTAGCTTTCCTACTTCAAGTAGGAAACCTCAAATCTCGAACTCTTCAATTTCAACCCAACCTTGTGTTCCAAGCATGTCCTTTTCATTCCAAGCTCACTTTTTGCTCTAAAAGCTCCAAATTGCATCATTTCATGTAATATGTCCTTTAAACCTGAAAACACATGAAAGTAGCTTAAAAGACTACTTTAACGAAGAAAACATAACAAAGATGCATAAGAACTAGCTAACTAAGGCGCATAAATATGCTCCTATCATCAATGTAGACTTCGACAATGGTACCAATTAAATCTTGGAAAATAGTGTTCATGGCTCGTTGGTATGTTGCACCGGCATTCTTGAGGCTGAAGGGCATGACGACCCATTCGTATATGCCGAGTGCCCCGGGACACTGAAAGGTAATCTTATGGACATCAGCTTCGGCGATGAAAATTTGGTTATAACCGGCATGCCCATCCATGAAGGATAGGATCTCGTGATGTGCTGCGGTGTCAATTAGCAAGTCGGAGATCGGCATCGGGTACTCGTCTTTGGGCGTTGCCAAGTTCAGATTATGAGAATTATGTGTGCATTGAAAATGGTTGGACTCAAAAATTACATTTATTGTTCTTAGTTAAATAACATTTTTTCTTTGTTGTATAAGCTCCACCTTTGACATAATCTAATATTGAAATTCAATTTTGGCTTCAGTTCGGCTCAAAACTCATATACGAGTTTTAAGTCTTATGAGTTTGAATAGAAAATGTGGGGTATTGTTGAATAGATAATGCTAATATCTTATGGTTAAGATGAATATAACATGATATTCTTGATTAGCATTACCTATATGAGATTGATGTGGGGTCGCATATTCGAGAATTGTTATGGCTACAATTCTCTAAAGGTCTCATAAATACAGGATATGTTCAGGACTAAAATGAACACAGCCGTATGAATTTGAAGTGTGTCAAGATGTGATATGTGTGATATTTATTGTTTCGATTTACTACTAGGAATGATCAGTTCAAGATATTAAATTCACTACTACATTAGGTAAATCCGATAAGTACTAACTAGAGAAGATTCAAGTCCAAAAGACACCTATCCTGATGCATATCATATCTAAGTTCTCTGGAAAAGGTGTTACTAATTTAGTTGGTATCTTATTTCCTATTCAAATGTGGGGTACTGCAAGAGTTTGAATAGAAAATGTGGGGTACTGTTGGAACTTGTGAGGGACCATTGTCCCACATCGACCATACACCCTCTCTAATTCTTGTTTATAAGTGAGTTCACTCACTTATTGTTTGAAAGGAATTGGACCAATGCTATGGACTTTGGAAGGTTTGGGTGTATATATCAAATGTCGGCCTTGGGGCTCAAACAGACGAAAAAACACAAGTACGATTTTTACATTTTTTTATTTTACGATTTAGTTTTTTCCGAAGGGATAAGACTGTTTACAAAAACAGTTACATCCTTTCTGAAAGGATAAGAATGAGTCATAATTGTTGCAAAAATTTCATTATATATGGCTGTGATATCAAAATCGAAAAATATAGAATTTCATCGCTCGCTCTCTCTTTGATCCTTCATAGAGAAACACATAGTAAATTCGCCAAGAATCCAAGTTCGAGTGCAAGAACTTGGGTTAGATAGTGTATCCTGCAAGATAGACGTCTGTGAACTACTGCACTGGTGTAGGGGCAAATTTCTTTCTTAGGAAATTGCTACTACAAGCCTCTATCTTCCAAAATCAAGTCAATGATTGTTGTTGTGATTTTTATATGCAATTTTATTAATTATTCATATTCTGGTATATTCTATATAAAGTGAAATTGTAATTCGAAATATATTGTGCAATTATTATTATTGTATAATTGATATTTGATTGCTTAAAACATAGGAGATGCTTTGCCTTATATTTGAACTCAAACTTTAGACTTATATTCTTATATGTGGGTCCAAAAAAAAAATAATGGGTTTGAGTATTTTAATTTTCTACTCGATGCAAAGACATATTCTGTGAGATGAAAGAATGAACTAAAAATAAATAAATTAGAATATGAGTCTTTGTGAGATGAATGAAGAACTAAAAAATTGTTAGAATATTTTGCTCTAACAATTTCAAATTTATCTCTGTTATGAGATGAATGAAGAACTAAAAATTAGACAATTTGTATCATTTAAAGAAAAATTGGAGCTGGCCCCATAAAGTATCCCTCGAATAAGCGATCTTTGAGCTATGTGTGTGTTGTGAAGAATAAAAAAAATGCGTGTGTTATTAGTATATGCACTCAGGGGTGGAGCCGCCAAGGGACTAGAATGGTCACAGGCCCGTCCTAACTTGTGAATTGTCAGAAAGGTTAATGAGATCTACATAGTGACCTCAAACCTTTATTTCCAGAGGCAAGAAACTCATGGAAGAAGATGAGGCGAATGACATCATTAGGTCTTTTTGGTTTTATATGTTTTGGTTTTATATTTAATGAAACGATGAGTTTGATAGGGGATTTTATTACAAGACACTAGCAATTTTGAATAGAAAAGCAAACCCACTATTTTCTAAGGGAAGTAATTGTCACACACCATTTTTAACTTCTCACACTTCTTTATTTAGGGCCCATCGAATTAAATAAATCAAACATGAGTTGTAAGAAGATACAAAGAGTGTGCAAATTACTTCTCTATTCTCAAGCAACTCACCCCCTTCATTGTTCGCAGACCTCTTCCCTTACCCTTCTTTTTTCTACCAAATTAGATTTCTTAGTATTTCTCTACCTCTTTCTTGGTTGTCTTGGTTTGTGTAATTTTTTTTATTCTCTATTGAATTTATGAGGTCTTTCAATTTGTGTATTCTACTTGCTCTTTAGTCCTATTTTAGTACACACTAGCTATTAGTACCCGCACGTTGCTGCGGGTTTTTAAACTGTATAAAACATGTAGAAAGTTATGATGTATATACATGATAGACATTATTTACACACGTGAAAAACTAATTGCAACCTTAAAAAGGTTTTTACTTGAACATAACGAAAACATTTGCACGAATTTTAGTAAGAACTAAGTAATATATATCAAGGGATCCCCTCTAGTGTACAATTTGCACAACTCAAGAATTTCCAAACTTGGAATGGTGATCAAAGTCGTTTGCTCAAAAAGAAATAACATAGCTAGAAGTGAAAAATGGAAAACCTAACTTATGTAAAAATAACATTATTTCTATAGACATATTTGAAGTGCCGAATATGGGAACATACTTATTAGTCATCGGATTACAAACCTTAGCAAGAACAAACAGCAATTTCTGCACCATTGTTTTCTAGCTTCATAGTTCACAAAGTCGGACCTATGTAACAAATCTCTCCACGTCTTTGGGACTTTTTTAAGCAATCCATGATACCCATGTGACACTGTTGGCAAACATTTCATTTTCAAATCATCAGGAAATCCAAGAATAATATATTGGTGCAAAGATTGTAATCGAAAAAATTGTTAAATAAACCAACCAAATACTTGAGACAAAAAAGGGCAAAACTACATGCATATAGAACTGAAGGAGAAAATTTATATATAGAAAATACAATGCTCTAAGCACAAACCCGGGAGCACAAAACACACGATTGATATTCACATTAATCAGCTAATACCAGAATCACTAACCAAGAAAGACCTGATAGTAAAGAGTTTTAGTTATGTACAGAGTTTGCATCTGCTGCAAGTCTCCAAGTACTTTTGCCGGGACTTCAGTGAAGGGAAGGGAAAAAGAACTAGACTCTAACATAAAGTATTTTATAAATATCATACATTGTCATGAAAAACATGTATTTTCAAATTATGGAAACAATTTATACATCAATAGAGCAGACAACGGGAACTGCTAAAGCACCAATATAAAAAATAAAAAGCATCAGTGGACATAGAGCCTATGATAAACGTCAAGTAATTGACATTAAGTCAAAAAGGCATCTGCTAAAGTGTAATTAAACCGACCTAGTTTAATAACTATCCAAACCATGAATAAGATATTGTTGGATCATCATCCAAGAACTGATTCAGATGATTCCCATCGTCAAATAGATTTTCCCTGGTGCAACATAAGAGCATTGTTGAGAACCAATGGAAGAAAATAGGTTAACAACGGAACCATATATGTGAGGCAAGTTGGTTTGACATGAAAAAAAAAAGTGAAATTGTCCACTTAAAAGTCACGCATTATTGTTTAAGACTCTTCTAAAAGGTAACTTTTTGTTCTAATCCATAACCTAGAACAATGTTCAAAACCTCATTCTGAAATTTTATCTGGGTACTAACTTCTATAATTTCCAAATCACAAAATTCCAGTATGGGTATGACGAAACACAATCAAAAAATCAAATTCTTTGTGTACAGGACAACATAAAGATTAAGACTTTTTTTTTTACTTCTACAACTCTACACACTTTCGAGCCCTAAATTTTCCCGGAAACAAACAGAAAGTGAATGAAGTCGTACCTGGTTCGAAAGAGAGGACGCTCCAGTTTGGTGAAACAGCGATGGCAGAGATCTCTGGTGAGAGAGCTAATAAGATGGACCAAACCATTGAACAAAAAAATCCAGATTCTTAAAATTAAAATCACAAAATTTTGAACAAAGAAAAGAGAACCTAAAACAAATATGTCCGAGAACTCACCACGAAACCCAAGCTTTCTGAGTTTAAAATTTCTTCAAATCAAAACGGGAGCCAAGCTTTTCAGGGTATGCCAGAGTAGAATTGGACTCGGATGAAGCGAATTCAAGGAATTTTAGTTTTGTTGTGAGGAGAACAACATGAACAACCCAATCCAAACAAAATTCTAGAGAGAGACAGAGAACGTACCACGAAATCTAAGCCCCTTGAGGAATTTCTTCGAATCGGAACGGGATAAACAACATATGTTCTGGTTCGTGCAAAATAGGGAGAGAGAACTGGAGTTCGTGTAGCAAATGGAGGACTACCGGAAGCAAATGAAACGCCCAGCTTTGTGAGAGAGAGAAGTGGAAAGGGAAGGAAAATTCGAGATGTAGTGGAAACGAAGCAGCCGACGATGATCGACGCGTGGGCAGCGTGGAAAAATAAGTAAATCCACTGTGCGAGGAGGGAAAACAACGGAGAATAGAGAAGCAAAAAAGAGCATTACCGTCATTTCACTGTTTATGAACAGTGAAAACAGTGCTAAAGGGAACCCAGTATATGCATAATATCTACTTGTGAAAAGCATCATTTCACGTACAATTCTAACTCTGCCACTGTACACACATGAAACGTTAGTGTTGTACAAAGAAAACTTTTTGCAACTAATAAGCAAGGAAGAAAATATCGGTAATATCGGAAATATCGACAGTCTGAAAACACGGAAATATCGATGGAAATATCGGGATAATATCGATATCGATAAAAATTACATGGAAACCACAGAAATTGTAAGAAAAACTTGGAAATTTTTTAATGAAACTTTGCAAGATGTTTATTTAGTCAATTATCTATTAGTTTATCACAAAAAATTGAAAGGAAATGTATTGCATGATGGATTTAACTGATTTAAGTTGATTATATAGCGAGCTGGCAAACATTGTGAGTGTAGAAAATATGTAGTAATTAATTAAAGAAGTTTAAACACACCATAATCATTTATATATAACTAATTAGTACAATATTGGGAGGTTTTATTTAGGATATTAAAAAAAAAAAAAGGAATTGAATAAAATGATGAAGAATAATGTGCCGAATCTGACACTTTAAATTTCTTACACATAAGCATGCGTCTAGGCGTTGAAGTTCCAAATTATAGTATATCAATTAACGATTGAAAATCAATAGGTTGAATAAGACTAAACTTTAATTTGGATGCCGATTATGTTTTTTCAAGTTTATATAAAGTAAAAGAATTGAATTTTGGAAGCCAAGAGTGTGTCAATTGTTCTATAATGCGTCCGGTCAAACCACGACGAGTTGGCTGGCGTACAAGGTATCAATCTCTTCGTCTCGTCGAGTAGTACAACTTTCCTTTTTGTTTCACTCAATTTCGTTGAGTATTGAAAAAATTATACTCATTTGAATCTTACCCAGTTTCCGGCGACCGCAGTGACTTTCGAGGTATTTTCCGGCCAAACCACAACGAGTCAGACTTCGTGTGAGGTATCATTCTCTTCGTCTCTTCGAGGGCTACAACTTTCGTTTTTGTCTTGCTTGATTTCGTTGACTTTTGACAAAGTTATGGCCGTTTAAAGTGGGTGTAAATGTTTGGCCGAAATTCTGATTTTCTCTCCCTTGGGCGAGTCCCACATCGCCCATGCGAGGGCAGTGAGCAAGCAATTTGTCCTATAAAACCCACATTCCCCTGCTTAGAAAGACATAGCTTGTTCGGCCTTTGGGCTATGATCAAGTGAAGTGTGTGTTGAGTTTTCTTAACATATTTAAGTATTTTTTAGTATTATGTCGCGATATTATCGATAATTTCGAAAATATCGCGATATTATTGATATTATTGATAATATCACGATATTTTAACGAAAATTGTTCGGATAGTTAAAAAAATATCGAACTTCCAAATAAACGATAATATTGTCGATATTTCGCCGATATTATCGATTTTTTCTTCCATGCTAATAAGTTGTGTGAAAGGTGGCAACAAAACAGTAGGTTTTTATTTTTCTATTTTATTATTGTTTTCAATTATTATTATTAGCAATGAGACACATGCTATGCATGTGCTTATTGATATTTTGAAAATAAAACTTTACAAAGAGATAAAATATAAAATGGCCACTAAAGCTTTTTGGTGACAACCTTCAAACGATTTTTTGTCGATGTAGAGGATGTTCATATCTTTAGCGATTGTTTTTTAATAACTATTTCGTCGCTAAAAGTTTATTTTATTTGGGAGAAAAATGTGGAAGAGAAAATGGAAGCAACTAATATGGTTAAATGGCTATGAGGCTTTGAAAAAAAATACAGTAAAATTATTTTGTGTTTAATTTACTATATTGCCCATAAATTTATTTTTAGTTATTTTTCTTTAGTTTTCTTGATAGGGTTAATTTGGTCTTTTCACCATTTTTAGCTGACAAAGAGAGTTTTGTAATGTGAAATTTGGAATTGTGCTTATTAGTATTTTGAAATAAAATTTGGCAAAGAGATAAAATATAAAATGGTCTTTAAAGCTTTTTTGTGACGATTTGAGTTTGCGCCTTCCACCAAAACAGAGATGAGGTTTTTATGTAGAGGCAGGGGATTTTCCAGAAAAATGACTTCTTTTCTCTACATTGGCTATAGAAGTCGACTCTTCATGTAAGCTTGATTTATGAGATGAGGATGAAATTTACATGAATTTGCCGATGTCGGTCAGAGTTTTTGTTCACCATAATTGATGTAAGATGAGGGGGAGGAGGTGAGAGAGAGGACGAGAAGGAGACAATGTTGTGTCTATGTGGTAGTTAACATCAACGTGGATGCGGACAACGAGGACTCATTCCACCTACTATTGCCACAACAAATTTATCGGGAATTTTTTTTACCACCACCCTCAAGTGATGATAATGCTCACCACTCTATCTATTACTTTTAGATGAGTTTAAATTTTGATATATGTGTAGTGAATAGACTCGAATCTCAAAATTTAAACTCATCTTATGATGACAAATTGAGTGGTAAGCATTACCATTATTTGAGGGTGGTGAACAAAAATATTCCCAACCAGCAGAAATCCCATCTTTAATTTTATTGCCAGTTGGATGATCCAACGATTAAGGTTAGGACTAGGGGTGGGTTCGGTTCAAATCGGTTCGGTTTTTTGCCAAAACCGAAACCGAACCGAAATTTCGGTTCGATTCAATTTTTTTCGGTTTTTTTTTGTTCGGTTTTTTTTCGGTTCAGTTTTTTCCAGTTCGGTTTCGGCTTTTTTTAAAAAAATGAAAAATTTTGAAATCTTAAATTTTAACATATCCAATACAATCATAACATAAATATTCCAACTAGACTTAAAGATAATGAAAATAAACATTTAAAGTTCAACTAGAATTATAACATAAAGGTTTTTTTAAATATTTTGGGTTTAAAGTTTAACTGTAAATAGATTTCTTTTTAGACGATGATAATGGAGTACGACCTTATTCATTCCTCTCTTTCTCTCAATCTCTCTCTCTCTCTCTCTCTCTCTCTCTCTATACATGTATTCTTCACTAGCAATAAGATAAACATTCTATAATATACTATTTATTTTGGTTATTGTCTAGGTAACAATTTTTTATATTTTCTTTATCTATATGGTCCGAATTTTTTTTATCCATATATGTGGTTACATAATTGATATACTTTTCAAAATTGTTAGGCCAAGGAAGCTACTATACTTGGCCATAGGTGAGAAAGTTTGAATTTTGTTTTTGATCTTGTAGCGTTTAATAAACTCATGAGACTTTTATACGCTGTTTGCTTTCCCTAATCAACTGTAGTGCAGTTGAGATATGTGTTCTTATATATGTGTTGCACTTAATGATAGAAACTAGAAACATTGCATGTAATGGTATAAGTTCTAATTTTTGTTGTAGATGGAGAAGCTGAGAAGACAATTTGAATTGGAAAGCAAACAAGTCTTACCAAAGCAGCAGTCCGAAGTATCATATTTTAATATAATAAAATCAAATAATTAAATAAAAAAAATTAAAAAAATATTAATTTAATTATTTTGGTTCGGTTTCTAGACCACCAAAACCGAACCGAACCAAAAGAGTTTGGTTCGGTTCGGTTTTTTCAATTCGGTTTGGTTTTATCGTTCGGTTCGGTTCGGTTTTCGGTTTTTTTGGGTTTTCGGTTTTTTGAACCCACCCCTAGTCAGGACTATATAAAATACATGTGTATTGTAGTTAACTCCTAGTTAAGGAATAATCGAATCTTAGAGTTAGGGTTCTCATCTACTTTGTCTCCAAAAGCTTTTGCAATTTTCAGGAATAAAGGGTATATTAGTCTTTTTACATTAACTTTTAGTTAGAATTATCAAAGAAAATAAATTGGCTAAACTTCTACACAGTAAATCTGATGTCATGTTCAATAAGTGTCGCAATTGTCTAGTCCGACACTATATTATATTAAAACGACACCACCTACTGACACTATAAGGCCATTTTGTAGTATTGAAATACCCTTTTGTAGTACGTAGTTTAGATTATTATTTTATGAGAAAAGAGTCTATTCACTTGATAAAAGAAAACCAAGTAGACAAAGCAAAATGGTGACATTGGGCTAGTCCAAGCTTTTGATGTGTATGATGGGTCCAGTCCAGGATTTCAATTAGATTAGTTTTTCTTGTTCAAGCAAATTTTTAGTGGTTTCATGTTTGAAGATGGTGCTTTACTGAAGTGCTGGAAAATAATTATGCATATGCACTTGGTGCGGATTTAATCCTCACTAAGTTCCGTCTTCCTAACAACTAACTATCTAACTCACTAAAACTATCGCTCTACTAAAAAAATAGTAGCTTCATATTCGAGGCTCAAAATGTATCATACCTCTTACAGCCCATTTCGGAGCCCAAATAAAAGAATGCACCACACCTCTTACAATACAGATATTCACACAAAATTTTTCTTTTGCTCTTTACTTTCTATATTTTTTTTAGCTTCCATTCACCCAAAACTTTTAGGGTTAAATACAGTTTTGGTCACTGTGTTTGGATCGAAATCTAATTTGTATTCGGTTTAGCAAATTTAGTTACTATGTTGTTAAAAAAGTTAGTAATCCTGGTTGCTTTAGTAGTCTTCAGTTAAAATCGTAAAAGATATAATTACCCTTTTTCTTTACAACAAATAAATGAGAAATAACACATATAAGAGATAAAACTTTCAATCTGAAAAATGATTAAGGTTGTGACAAAGAAAAAAGAGGGGGTAACGTTAGGGAGGAGGTCAAGGAGTTGGGAGGAGAATAATTTTTCTTTTAATTTTTTATTTTATTTCATATTTAAATATTTCAAATCAAATAAATAATTTTATAAATAAGTTTATAGTAGTTTATAAATTTTTCACAAAACTTAGATGAAAATGTCTTTAATTGGCTAACTGAAATAAACACAAAGATCAAATT